AAACGTTCATCGTCACTACCCCGAAAAACATATTGGCTTGAGTGGCGGGAATGGATAAGTACATTTTAAAGTCGGAAAATTTGACCGATATTATGCGAACTAAAAAAAAATCGGTCAAATTTTCCGACCTTAAAATGTACTTATCCATTCCCAATACTCAAGCCAATATGTTTTTCGAGGTAGTGACGGTGGACGTTTTCATACTTCCAATAGGCTTGGGTGCAAAAATCGGTCCAACTTTCCATTTTTTCTTACAATATGAAGCTCCTTTTTCAACCCTTTAGCCACCTGCAGCACTCAAGCCTCTGGTTTTCCGAAGCTAGGTTTTTAATAATTAATCATTTAGTGAACACGGCTTGCATGGAAATATGGGCAACAGACACCTTTTATTTCGGTTAAAGAAAATCGAATTTTCCATATTTTATCCCCAGGGGCGACTCGTGAATTTCACTTCATTCTACTCAACATCGAAGTATTTTTCAACCCTCTTCGAGACTTGTATGCGAAAATGGGGCACCTAAATCGGTCACTATCTGACGGTCTATCAATAAAAATGTGAAAAACCGCGTTGAAAAAATTTCATTGAACGAGCCTATTCTGTTTAAACACAATAGAAGTTCACAAAAAAATAGTTTTCCAAAAAAAAAAAATTAAAAAGTCCGCAACGATTTTCTGTCCTAAACGATCTCCTAGAAGCCGAAAACGCGTGAAAATATCCCGCACAAAATACAAATTCACCGACAATTCTTCAAAGTTCCGTGTTGGGCGCCAATGTACCGCTGGGATTTCTCTGGTTGTCTTAGAACCTCGAAATATCGGTAATATCTTGCTTCCAACATGGATACACAACACTAGAGACTTTATAAACATTTATTTACGACTAATGTATAATGTGCGTATTATATTTGTGATTTTGGCAGTATAATGACATATTTTATTCCTCCAGGGATTAATGACGAGTAGCGGGATTAATGGTCATTATTCCACAAAAGTGTCAGTGTCAAACGTGTAGTGCTTGTGGATTTGTATTGAAAATTATGAGACGGACGAAATTTGTTCATTGAAAATCTCAAATAAATTAATTTGTCGTAAATAAAGTAGAGTATACTACTCGCAATAATGGCTATTATTCCCTCGGAATGTTACTCCCTCGCCGCTAACGCGGCTCAGTTCGTAATAATCCTCGGGAATAATAGCTATCATTATTGACTCGTGGTATAAAAAACTATTATTTCCGACTAATGTCACCCCCAAGGAATAATGACGAGTAGCGGGATTAATGGTCATTATTTCTCAAACGTGTCAGTATTAAACGTGTAGTGCTTGTGGATTTGTATTGAGATGGATGAAATTTGCTATTAAAAATCTCAAATAAATTAATTTGTCGTAAATACAGTAGATTATACTACTCGCAATAATGGCTATTATTCCCTCGGAATGTTACTCCCTCGCCGCTGACGCGGCTCAGTTCGTAAATATTCCTCGAAAATAATAGCTATCATTATTGACTCGTGGTATAATCTACTATCAAACAATACAAATGAATTAAAATATAAAAAATTAGGAAAGAAATGAAGTAAAATATAAATTGCAAACACTTTCTTCCCGTAGTTAATCAATTATAATCTCTAGTGAAACAATTGACTAAAATAAAACACAGCACCAGAATAAAAATCAACATCCTAGATTAACAATAATATTCGGCGAGTTTTTGGGGTTGACGTGTGGTTCTAAGAGATGATTTGGAACTTCGTTACACTACTAATTTTAAGTGTTCCATAATATTCAACACATTCAGTTTTGTAGGCTTTACAGTAGGTACACAATTAGTTTCTGGCACTGAATATATTCCGAATATACTAGGTAGTAATTTATATGTCGTGTAATAGGTTTCCTGTAATTGTGTTATTATTGACAAAACAACAACGAACAACGAGGTTAGTTTTAATGTATAGCACAACCCTGAATAGTTATCATTCTGATTCCGCAAAATTTATTTTCTTGGGTTGTTTTAAAGTTTTTATATTTTTGATAGGAAATCCAAAGTTTCTTGTACTTATACAAGTACATAGATAGTTGGTGGATAAAATGAAATAAGATAAATATATTATTTATTTTATTTTCAGAATTCTCCTATAATCTTATCTATACAGAATTTAGTTTTCTAAACTTTATAATGACTTGTTAATCATTAGGTAGTATTTTACATTTTCATGCTTTTATAGCTGTTCTAGCAGTAGTTCGCAATAAATACGAAAATGTAATTTCCGTTTAAGTGCCTGCTTTTATCCAAACAAAACCATTCGATTTCCTCGAGCCAATTAATTGTAATGTCATTTTTGGTACAGGCAACCGTATCTGGACAGAAGAATCGTTCCTCAAATAATTACAGCCTCTGTCAATCTTAAGAGCACAACGATATCGCAGTTGTTCTCTTTTGCATTGACATGGGAAATGAGAAAATTTTGTTGCTGAAATTTGGTGATTATTTGGCATTGAATTAGGGTGAAGCATAAGAAAATTGTATAACCTATTTCATCATATCAAATCGAATCACATATTTTTAACAACCTAAATAACATTCGTTTTATGCAATCAAAAGAAAAATTTCTTTGAGAACAATTTAATTGGTTGAGATGATTAATTGGATGTTTAATTTAAAATGGAATAAATTAGTCACAATGGAACATGAAATATAATGAGTTTCTTCAAAGAAAACTAGAAGAGAAATGACAGAATAGAAATACGATCTCTTTCATTAGATTTCTTTACTTAAAATGGATTACATTTTCAAATTAAAACCATGTATATAATTTTCCTTACCTACTTGAAAAATAATATGTACAGGTTGATTTAGCATATTTTATACTCCTATCAATAACACCCCTATATAGGATAATGTCGAAGTCACTTAAGAGTGTATTCATATTGAATATCGGGAAACTGCTGTCGGAGATTTTAAATTTGAAAAAAAATTATTCCTTTTTGTCGGAACTATTTGCCACTTGATACCTAATATTATCTAAAGTATTAAAATTCAAGGCAACTTAATGAGGAGAGATTTCAATTCTAATTTATAATATTTCTGAAATTTCAAACCAAAGGCATATACTAGGAAATTAGGGTGGCCATTCGAGTAATAAATCTGATGAAAGTTATAACGAAGAAATCTCCTAGGAAGTGTTTTATTACTAAGCCGTTCGGAACTAAATTTAGAATATTTATGGCTACAGAAAGTAACAGGGTTTACGTTACGCTTTTATTTATTATGGATAGGGTTTTTTAGTTGGATCACGGAGCCCTGAGTTTTATAATTTCAGCCTTCAACATGCTATAAATCAAATATCAGGTTTAAAAGATTTCAATAAATTAGATGAGAAATATAAAGACGAATAGAAGCAATGATTTTTAGAATCCATGTTTTTGTGGTTAAACCGAAAGAGAAAGTCTGAGGGCTCCTTATTTTAGTTTCTAAAAAAATACCTAAATTTGCAAATTGCTTTCAGGAAACATGTGTTTCCAGAAAATTAGATTGTTAAATAAATTTAAGTAAGAAGCTCAAATGAAGCTATATAAATCCGGCCAGAACATAAATCTGAAAAATGGTTTAATCAAGGGATTTAATTGCCAGGTTCCTGTAAATGAATTAGTTTTATAAAAATTAGAAAATTTACGTTTGTGGATTTTTGTTCTGGGAAAATATGGTGGAATGTATGTAGCTATACTTTATTATTTTTCACAAAAAGAATCCAAGATTAATTAAAATAATTAGAGACTTGATAAAAAGTACAATACTTACTAGCAAGTAACAATACTAATAAATCTAAAAGCAGTTGCTATTATTATGGTTCTACAAAATATTCTCTAGCCATTTTTCAATTTCAAAATACCATTTAAAATGTATGTGTTATTTGAAATGGGATTTCGCTTAGCATGTTATGAATCGTTACGGCGTTCCCGTCTCGGTCTGAAATATCCGTGAATAATGTACTTACTTAAAAGCACTTCATAAAAAGAATCCACAGAAAAAAAAATACTCCAAAATCAGGATTGAAATAGGTACCTATTAAATTTTCAAAATATATTTACTTATCCATCGATTTGTTAGTATTGTTTTTTTTTTCGCCAAGAAGCCATAATTTATATTATAATGGTAGGTACCTAGTAAAAATTTGTTTTAGTACTTAATACAATCGAAAATATTCTAAATTACAACAGGACGTCATGGTAGTTTAGTTACCGTTCTCTAGCCATTGTACAGTGTACTTTAGAAAATGAGATTAATAAATTTCCAAGCAATACTCATCGTCGCAGCACGTTCCAATGAACAGCCTGCGAGCCCAAACCGGATGTTGCTCTTTAACATCGCCTGTCTTTTGGTGTATTCGAGTCACGTTCGATTCGAACAAAATAAACAAGACGGCCGCGTCTTGATCAAGTGCACTTCCAATTCTGGAGAATCGAATAATTCTCATCTTCCTCATCAAAATCAGTCAAACTACTGTTGAACCACATTCAATGGCCAATAATTAGACAAATAATAATCAAAGATAGGGGTGTGTTGTACCTTAAGACCATTTTTATTTATTTTTTTTTAAAATTTTTAGAATACATTGATATAGGTACTCATGACCAGCATACTCAGTGTTAGTTCAACTATTCAGGACTAATTTTTCAAAAATTGTATATAATGTTATCACATTGATATCTCAAAGAAACATTGATGATTGTAGATTGTCCCAAAGTACAACAGGGGCTTGTACCGTGGGTCAGTACTAATTGTACCTTTGGACAAGATTGATTGTACGCCGGAATGACAAAATAATAAATAAGAAGGCGTCCAAAATGTGTTCAACATATTTATTGTTATCTACATTTTTTAAGACATCAAGTCTACTGAAAAGCAGAGTTGTTCCATTCGGCGATCTGTTGGTTTGGGTAGTTTTATCAAAATGTCTGATTCGTCAATTTCGTGTCTCCATTTTTCACAAACTTATTACTGTTCATTATCTTTTTAAGATAAACCCCCTCCAAACATCCTTCTCCCATTTTTTCCTTTATTTCCACAATGTAATGACGCACAGATTTTTTTCCTTTCAATTCTACTAGTGCAAAGTCTCCTTCCAATATCTTGACATTCTCTATATCCGTTTTCTGTTCTATTTCCTTATTTTCTTCTTCGACTAGTTTTTCAAACTAATTATCTTCATCACTACTAAAATCTTGCAGTGCAGAGTTATTTTGGTATTGCCATCGTCGGACCTATCTTCGAAAACCTTTTTGGTCACTTTTTGAACTTTGGTTATGGACCTTTTGGCCTGTCTTTTTAAATATTCAATTTCTATTTTATTTTTTTCCGGAGTTTCCGTCAATATACTGTATTTTCTTTTCTTCCTCCATCCTTTGGTCTTTCTAGGTCCAGCCTTTGGATAGGGCATCATTTCAGGGCTCACTAAATTTACCTGTCTTGGAGACATATTTTGAGATTGATGTGATGGTCCAGGTTCGTCAAAATTTTCAGTCTGTGCCACAAAGTCATTTAAAATGTCTGTCTCTGGTCGATCTGTTACAAAGGCACTTGAATATTCGTCTCTCTCTACCGATATTTCCTTGTTGAGAGGATAAATACCTGTTACAGAAAACTCCTTTGTGATGTTCTGTCGAGTAAACGCCTCCGAATAGGCTCTTCCTTCCTGGATTTTGGAGCATCCATTCACTGAGAGCTTGATTATAATATCTTATAAAGCCCAAACACAGTTCGATCCAAATGTTGAAGCTTGTGCGAAGTCGGAAATGTAAGTAACACCATCATTGGACTTTGCGAGATCAATTACCGAAATGGACATATGGCTCTCATGATTATCAAACACTAATGACACTGAGTTGTTGAATGGCTTTAGATGATCGATGAAATGCCTCATATATTGAAGGAATTTTTCATCATTAGACCACCCCAAGGGATTGGCAGCACCAATAGAACCTGAAGGAGCTCCGCTCAACATAATATGTTCTTTGAAATGAACTCTAGGGAAAATAAGCATAGGTGGTACGTGGTTTCCTATAGCACTTATATAGTTGAAATCACGATAGAAAGTGAAGTTGACAGTTCGCGTTGACATTTCTAGTAACTTTTTCTTTAGGTTGCCAGCATGCGTTAGCGCTTCGATTCCGTCAGCTGGGATAAACGACAGGGTCGTATTTAGGCCGTGTTTATGTTGGAGCTGTGATAAACGATAAAAGCAACGATACTAATGATACTTTCGTTACTTTTATCGTGTATCACAGCTCCAACATAAACACGACATAGAAAAGTGATATACATTTCAGAATAAAATTTTTTATTCAATTTCTTTATTGCTGCTCCCTAAACATTATTGGAGATCAATTATGGCTATGATAATTTTAAATTGCTAATTTTACCGTATTTTCTTCCACACCTAAATCATTTGAGATGCTGGAACAGGGTAAAGTCTCCAGGACCCTGGTACAATGTTCTGAGTTTTCCGAGGACTTCTCTGTCATCGCTAATACCAAAATCAGCACTTAAAATCCTAATACTGTGTAAGTATTAGGTTTAACTTACCTGAAGACGTTAAAATAAACCACATGAAAGTCTTAAAAGAGTCCAAAGTAAACATTTATAAAGAAAAAAGTAAACACTTATATCCAAACTAAAACCAGGTTTTAAACGCAACACCGAAACACGCACAGGCACAGAACACTACATGAAACACCAAAAAGCTGATTGCGAATATTACAAAATATCAAGAAATAATGCAGAAAACGGCAAAAAACTGAATCGATTTCACACAAAAATTCGAATTTCAAAATTCGAAGATCCGAATCTGATATTTTTATATGTCAAATCGAAATGTCATGTATCATTATTTGATAGTTGACAGAAAAAGAGACAGATCTGGGGATTTCATTTACTTTCAGCTGGTGAAAATAACGGTCAAAATTCAAACTCTATCGTGAATTCAACTATACCTGCAATCATAGTTATATTGATTCCACGTTCTCTCGAGGTCATACAGGTTGAACGGTGGTATCTCCAGTTTCCTCTAAAATATGTATGTTGCTTGGTAAAAATTTGTATTTTTCTTGGCAAGTTTCAATTTTGACAAAAAACTCCTGTTGAAACTGGTTGAACGCGCCAGACTAGTCGCCTCTGCTTTTCTTAGTGACAATTTCTTATGCCGTTTTAAAAACTAACGAAGCCACTCTCTACCCGTTCTTTTCTCCTCCTCCCATTTTGCCGGAACTTTTTTGTTTTTCTTCGTGGCGTGGCATACAGAAAAGCTAATGAACGAATTTCCTTTTTATTCAGTCCATAATGGAGTCGGAATGAGAAAGGCAAATATTCCTCTAGCTGCGACTCTTCTTCCACTGGAAATACTTTATTTACAGCATTGGTAGCTGAATATACAAAGTCAGGCTTGCCCGATTCACGGTGTTTCTTGGTGTAGCGTGCTGCGTGCTAGAGTTGATTTGCTGATCTTATGCAGGGCTGCTGCGTCTCTTAAACTAACGTTATTATGCAGAACATCATTGACGGCTCGTTGAAGATTGGCAACAGCGTCCCTTTTCTTGCGGGTTTTACTTCGAGGCATCTTACTGGAACAATAAAAACAAGCAAATACGTAAGCCAACCAAAAATCATCATTTTCTTATCGATAAATTTCAAATGCATTTCAAAATGTATAACAAAATCATATGCACGTACCTTGGGACTGTCCTAAGGTTCGTGCAAACTACTGTCCCAAGGTACATGTTATGCATTCTGACTGATTTTTGTTCTTATATTTTTCTAGGTTAAAAAATTCAGGTTTTTCACGTTATCAAAAAAATGAGAAGGAACTAAACTTTATACCTACATAATTCAATTCCCTCAATACTCCTTCCTAATGCACGACACACACAGTTGTTACTCGATAAAAATAAATTCGTTGCATTCAAAACACAAAATACCCAATATCACATGTGCAATGCTTCTAGGCGTCGCCGTCGAAGCTACTAGGGAGGAGAACTATCTCCCCATCCTTGAAACTATATTTAACAATTTAAGTGATACGGTAATAGATGGCGCATCTAGCCATTCTGTCTGCAAGGTACATGCATCCCAAAGTACAACACTCTCTCCTACTAATAACTAGTGCGGTGTGGGACACGAGTAGTTCAAGCTCCTAGATTATTTTGTTATTAGAAATAGCAGGTGAAACTAGTACAATGGGTACGAAATTGAAGAGCTAATCAAGATAGCCAGAATATATTGGTGGCTCCAATATATTAGAGAATAATTAGATTTGTGACGAATGTGACTAAAAAAGAACATTTTACAAATTTAAAATCTAAAAATGAAAGTAATCGTGTGAGTGAACAGGGAGTTGTTGCTGGGCTTCTTTTTGGACATAGATGGAGCATTTGACAACACTTCCTTCGACTCAATAACCAGCTAAGTCAAGCATAAAGGAGTTGTCTGATTACAAATTAGCCATATTTTCTTTAGTTTTGATGTCTGTAGTCCTCTGGATATTACATCGCCAGGATTGTATTCTGATTTTACATAATGTCAGAATTCACTGGATACAAGTTTGTTTATTTCAGAGACTCTATTGGCAATAAAATGTTTCCATCTAAATGGCTCTCCTTTTATCTATGCCAGTGAATCATGGAGTCTGAGTAGGCATAGACTGAAACTTTCTCTAGCGATAAAGCTAATATAGTTGTTTTGATTAGTTTTGACAACAGCACAAAGTTCAAGTCGTGGTAGAGTTGCCTTCATCCGTGCTGGAGTACTTTCGATTTAGAAGTTAAGCGAGTGTTTTGTCTTTCATCTCGTGGATTTGTAAGTTTCATGTAGATGACTGCACCGTATACTTTCTCTGATGCAGCGCAAAATCCATGTATCTCAATGTTGCTTTGTTTGGATTGATGTGTCCATCTGGAACTTCTTAATTGTTCGACATTTTTTAGTTGTGCTTGAAACTTCTTCCATTTTGTTTGTATGTGTTCAGGTAGAGGATCGTCCCATCTTAATTCTTGTAACCATAATTCTTGGATGAGAAGTTTTGCGCTTATGATCACTGGAGCTAGCCAGCGAAGTGGATCAAACAATTTAGCAACCTCGGAAAGGATCTTTCGCTACGTAATTTTGGTATTTTCTTTTAGCTACTTCAATTTTAGAAGGAAGGTATCGTCATGTGGTGCCAAGTGGATTCCAAGAGATTTTCTTGTTTCATCTTCTGTGATTTCTACGGAAGTAGGTAATACCTTTCAGTTCCTCTGGCAGAGCTTGTAGGAGTTGATTTCTGTTACTGGACCATTTTCGTAGAGTGAACCCGCCAGAGCGAAACATTTTGATTAGTTCAGCTTGGAGTTTCAATGCTTCTTCCATCGTATCTGCTCCGGAAAGAAGGTCGTCTACATAGAAATCGTGTAGGCCCCACCACTGGCTACTAGCTGCAGTGTTTTGATCGCCAAATATGGAGCTGCGGTTGTACCATATGTTACTGTTGTAAGACAATATTCTTGTATTGGATATTTTTTGTCGAACCGCCACAGAATTTTCTGAAATTCCTGATCGTCTGGATAGATTTTGATTTGTCTATACATTTTCTCAATATCAGCTGTGATAAATATTCTGTGTGATCCCAACGCAAGAGAATATCCGAAAGCTCTTGCTGTAATTTGGGACCAGTGTACCTACATTGTTTCGTTCAGGCTGGACCCAGAAGAAGTCTTGCTGGATGCATCAAAGACTACTCGTAGCTTTGTCGTCTACATTTCTTATCACCATGTTTCAATAGAATCAAGTATTTTGAAAATTCTGTACCTTTTTATTGCAGATTTTCATTGTGTTTTAGATCTAGGTAATCTTTCATAAATTGTTTGTAGGTGAAGTCTAGTCTCTCGTCTCTCAAGAGCTTTTTCTCTAATTGTATAAGTCTTGCTGCAGCTCTCTGTTTTGATATTCCCAGAGTCTATTCTTTGCCATTGAACAGTATTCTCACAGTGTAAGAGCCTACCATCTTTGTCTCTGGCTGTGTTTAGAGCATATTGTTCCTCACAGATCTGCTCATCTTTAATTTGTCTTGTTTGGGAGATTTCTTCTATTTCCCAGAATTTAGTTAGCTGTAGATCTTCTTGAATGCCGGTTGTCACTGTTAGAACTTGGAGTTTTTTATCTTTGCTAA